GTGTGTGCGTCTGCCCTGTGATGGACTGGCCCTGGTGTGAGTGTGTGCGTCTGCCCTGTGATGGACTGGTGTCCTGTCCAGGGTGCACCCTGCCTTGCACCTGTTGCTTTCCAGGAAGGGCTGTGGCTCCCCTGCAGTCCTGATTTGGATTAAATAGGTAGGTAATGGATGGACAGATGACTTCACCTCATTTAGAAATCAGATGTGTAAGTGTTATTCCTACTTAGGAGCTTTACAGTTATTTCCATCCTGTTCTTTAAGCTATTTCTCAGCTCAAACTAACCTTATACTGCTGGTATCCTCATTCTTACTGCAGCCAATTTTTATAGACTCCTTCTTAATTTGTAAAAAGTGCATTTGTTAAACTCTTCATCTACAGAGTGCTCATTTGAGAGGAGTAAAGAGAAGTAATTTTTCTTGTCAAACACTTGTTCTTAAGTCCTATTCCCTCTGCTACAATCTGCCTCTCTTTGGTGCGCTTCTTAACACATCTGCATCCTTGTTAGTACTGCAAACTGTCTCGGCCTGTCCCTGATGGTCGACTGTATAAATAAAGAGAGGCTCAAGCTTTTGAAACTGATCAGGATGCCTCAAACACATACCTGAACTTAAAGCAAATACACAACACAGTGATGCTACCATATAAGTTTTGGATCATTATCAAATAAATCTCCAATATATCTATATACACAGTATGTTTCTGATTTATAGTGAATACAATTCACATTACTATTGAGATCTATTTCAGCAACCACTGCCTTATAATGTCATGCACTTATGTCTGTGTTTACTTAGGATTGACACAGACAGCTCAGGATTCTAGAATTTCTTCTCATGTGCCGAGTTAGATCATGAGATGCCATTCACAAAAACACCAGACATTTACAGAGGCCACTAAACGATAGTTTAGTACCTGGGCCATTTTCTGAAGCAGTTTCACATTTTGCCAAGTAGATTTCACTCTGCTTTGATCAGCGGTTACATAAATATACCGTATCAAACGGAGCAAATTAAAATGAAACTTTTTTCCCCCATTTATAGCCAATAAGAATGCCATGTCTTAATCAAACGATTGGTCTTGCCTGTCAGATGGCTTCCCAGCCTAACAAACAGGAATTCAGCTCTAGAGAAAAAACATTCATATTTACAGCAATGCCCCGCTTAGTGCTGAGGATGAGTTCCAGAGAAACACATGAGAATCGCCACCAGTAGAGGCAATCATATCTTGGGTTTTATAGCGCTGAATTCCCAGGAGCACTATTTCTGAGATATGAGCAAAGTATCATATCTTCACTGGGGTTTTGGTAATGGGATTACTGACAGTTTTACCACAGAGTGTAATTAAAATCCATATTACACAGAAAGGACAATTGCAGTTGCAGGATAAATGCGTGTCAATTGGCTCTGCACCCAAGTGTTCAGCGGGCGTGTGCTCAGACGAACCCGTGTCCCGCCCTGCGGTGGCGGGGGACTGCTGGGAGCTGCCCCATCTGCCCGGATTGGCTGGGCTGTGACTCATCCAGGGGGGTTTTAAGACTTCTTTGTGATGAGCCACTGCAAATGGGACTGGCTGTACAGTAAACATACGCTTCATGCCAGATTGCCAGACTGCAATGTCCGAGAGGTCGTGTGCCGTTTTTCTGTATATTGCCTTTAGCAGAAGGAGTAGCAGGACACTGTGCCGAGTTTCCCTCTTGGAGTTTCCACCTGGTGTGAACCCACATTACAGACATGCATTCTGCCTCTATACACCTGTATCTGCAGCAATTAAAAGAATGGCCAGTGACTTACAGCTTTTCTTCAGCTCGTCAGTTTAAAAAAAACGCCGTCAACAAGTCAAATGAAAACATAATCAGGTCAGGGCTGGGCCTCTCAGCTGCTGACTCAGGAGTGCAGGACGGCCTCACTCATCCAGGGTGAGCCGCAGTAAAAACAGCCTTGTGCCTGGAGTCTGCCAGTTAGAATTCAGGCCATGCCACTTGCTGGCAGTGCCCAGGAGTCGCCAAGCATAATGTAACGCTGGCTGCCTGTTATTTCACATGTGTGGGGTTCATTCCCAGGCCTGGTGAACTCCATAAAATCACAGATTGTTTTCAGTTTCCTGTGTGAGCACTAAAAATGGAAAAGAGTTTATGACTGAAGTGTAAGAAGTTGTAGCAAATAAAACAATGGCTGAAGAATTTCTAAAACACCTCAGTCATCATCCAAGGATCCAAATCGTGTGTCTCCAATGCATCGCACAAGGCTTGCGGAGGCAAACCAAGGTCAATGTTTTGCATAGTCACCTTTAACACCAGTGGTAAGGTCTCTGCCCCTCACAGGAGCTGTGGTAGGGACTGGTGCTTACTGAGGGACATGGCACGACTCTTCTTATCCTGTGCCAGACGTATTAAACATTCCTTCTCATTAAGGCTATGATTAGCAATGTAATATACTGTAAGTGAAGAGCTTCACCACCCACTTAACGTTTGATGTGCTGAGTGTGTTTTATACCACCTATTCACAAGCATTTCGGAGATGCTGGGTCATTATAGTTTAGAAGACTCCCCAGCACTTGATTATGCTCATGGTATGGGTAATCAAGGCATCGCTGTGTAAGGAACAGATTTTTTTTCAAATGAATTGAATACGCGGCTGCATTTGAATGCTGCTTTCCTTTGTCACTGGTTTTCATCTGAAAAACGTGTCTGGTTGCAGTACATGACCTAGTTACACTTAAAACTGAGAAAACCAGATGCACAGCAGGCACTCCGATACACAAAGGGGAGTGAGAGTATGGAACAAGCAAACCTGCCATGTTATTGAAGAGGATAACAGAACAGCTCCCTCAGATTCAGACATGCTATGTTAATGGGATGGTACATTCATGGACTCAACGGAGATTGCATCTGGGGCCTACCTTGGCGTTATTTTTGTGTTCCTCCTGGCAGCCGTTCTGCACGGTGCCATCTTCCACAGCGAGCTCAGAGCTGGGGATCAGCACCACACTGCATGATGGGCAGGGTACCTGCAACACAGGCAGAATATTAACCTACTCCAACCCCCTCCATGCTGAAAGCAACACTTGCTTCCAGTTTATATTTAAATACTGCCAAGCAATAAACTAATACCATGTCTCATAGTATTACAAATTTGTTCAAATAAAGTTCCATGCAACTTCAATTTATATAATACTGTTTTTCTTCATTTTTCAGCTATGACTTTGCTCATTCTTATGTGTGAGAAACACATTCAAGTCGCAGGCAGGGCTCCAAATGACTCAGAGATGGCAATTAAATGACTCCTGTCTGTGTGACAGCTCATTAGAGACGCGATCAACCCTATTTGAACTGGCAATAGTGCCCTACCCACTGAGGCCAGTAAATGCCTCCTCTCAAGCTATAATGAAGAGCATTAATGACAAGTCCCCAGTATGAGAGAGGTAGGGGGTGCTGGAGAAAAGACTCTCATTAGATGGATCTACCCAGTTAATTGCTGGTTTTCATTATATGGAGAGAAAAAACATGAACATTTTGGGCATTCAAAATAGTTTTTTTTTTATTGCTGTGTGCCAAAACTCAGCATTTCCAGCAAACCTAGCAATCACTCAAAACAAGAAATACATGGATATGCTACCATCATTGATAGATAATCACCTGGCAGACAACACTTCTGTTTACTATGTCCCTGTAGCATTTGTAAGGTGAAAAGGCATAACCCAAGTTAAAGAAACAGCTGTTACATTATGTGGTTTAATGTGTGTAATATGAGTGCATTTGCCACAGTAGTTAGCCTGGCTGCCTCATAGCATTGAGGGCCCTGGGTTCAACTCTTGGGGCGCTGTCTGCGTGGAGTTTGCATGTTCTCCCCAAGTGGGCTTGGGTTTCCTCGAGTGTCCTTCCACGGTCCAAACACATGCTGGTAGCTTAACTGGCTTCTGGACAAATTAGCCCTGGTGTGAATGTGTGCGTCTGTGTGAACCCTGCAATAGACTGGCGTCTCATCCAGGGTCTATCCTGCCCATCGATGGACAGTCTTGCGCCTGTCGCTTGCTGGGATAGGCTAAAGAGATTAGAAAAGAGATGACTGGATGTGTGCTATTTATGCCATATATATATACACGCCACAGAACCCGTCTTCAGTTTTGCGCCGCGTGCGCGCGGACCGACCTTGGCTCTGTCAGCCTGGCAGTGGGCGAGCCCGCTGTCCGGCCCGGCGGCAGGGGTGGCGTCGGGGGACTGCGCCCGGGGAGCCGCCGCCGGCCCATCCCCGGGGTCCGGCCCGGTCAGGCCCAGCTGGGAGCAGCTGCACTGAGAGTGCTCCACCCGCTGGCCCGAGATCAGGTAGGTCTTCAGCCCTGAAAACACATGGGGACAAACAGGAGCGTCAGGAGCCGAGCTGCGGGCAGGACCTCCGCGATGGCCTGTAAGCCAGGGCACAGCATCTCTGCGGGAACCACAGAGCCATTTATTACACACTAGATCGCTTAGGGCAATATAAAAGAGAGCAGCGAAAAGGTGGGTGACTTTCTAGACAGCCTCAACAAATTTGACAAAAGCAGCTCGGCTCATTTACACATTTTCTCAGTAGTGCAGTAACACTGCGGGTCTGATGCGCTGCTGCACAGGAAGGGCAGTGGCACAGCTTTATAGAAGATGCTCTTCTGAGCGGGGTGATCGCTCACTTGGGTGTTTGAGGTCACCTGCAGGAACGGCAGGGTGGCCCAGTAAACAGCCCGTCAAGAGATACGGTGGTGACCGCAGTGTGGAGAACCACAGCGGGAACAGTGTGCGGCGAACTGAGCTTCTTATAGAGGGGGCAAATATGAATCCCCCTAGGATGTCTGCAGCCAGACAGGGAATAAGATCGATTGTCGCCACCGTTCCGTACAGAAGACCGCAACACCTTGGTTTATATGAGCAAATAAAAAAAAACAGAAAATAAACTTGAATAAACTCATGCGTATCAGTCAAATGCATAGCAGTCTGTTTCAATATTTGACACTCTCACAAGAAAGCACCTACAGGAAAGGAATCCCTTTGAGATCCTGAGTTCTTATACTTTGTCTGAAGAAACAGGTTAAAATAGTCAGGACCATTTTCCTTTAAATCAGAATTCCGGTGTAAAATCCCATCACAGAAACATCTCGCACACCGATGGGAGGATTATTGATCGGGAAACCTGTTTTTCACTGCACTCTATTCCTTTGACAGTTGATTTTTACAGCTAGTATATAGTGCGTTTACAGGTAGACATTCTTTAAAAGTGGGCATTTGGATAAAGTTCTTCTGGAATGACCCAACTTCATTGGTGTTGCCCTGGGGCACAAGTGTGCCAGTGAAAAAAGTCCACAAAGACAGTTTTGCAAGAATCCGATTTTTCAAATAATTATTTTCAAGCTAGTATATAGCAGGTATGACACTAATTAATTTGCCGGTTTAAATAAAACATGAATAGTGATAGTAAAAGTGATATTGGGAGTTTATCAGGTACTGATCACTCCAATGATCTAATACTCCAATATTATAATAATCCTGCTCTCTGAGTCCCTGGAATAAAATAACTTGTCTGGCCTAGAGTCTGCATTTTATCAGCTTAAATCCATCTCCCATTTACTTATAGTAAGGCAGTTTCCTTAAAGAGGTACCATTTAAATGAATCATACTTTCATATGATTCATACACATTCCACAAGTGCTTGATTTGAAAAAGACCGTTCTCGATCGTAAAACTGTCCATCAGCCTGAATTGAAGTTTAAAACCTAGAATTCAAGTAACCGAATACATTATGAAAGGTTTTTTATGACCAGATTATAAAAGGAGAATACAAACTTTCCTCCAAGCCACTAGATGGCCCTATTGCCATTTAGACCAATGTTAATCTACAATAGTTCTGGTTGGCCACCCTCCTGGGCATAGATGCAGTTTTTTGATGGCGAGATATGGACTATACACATGGAAGTTTCAAAACTATTTCAGCAAAAGTGAATACCTCTTTAACGAAGCCACTTCCTTCATGGTGCTGCTGGGAGATCACAGATGCTTTTGGCAAAATAGGAAAGTTTATTTTGATATTATGTGGTTACGAGGGTGATAGCGGGCCATGCTTTGAAGGTAAACAGGATTGTTTGGCCTGCATTACATTGTCTGTTTCCAACACACTTCTTCCACCTTCTGATAAGGCAATACCACAAATCAGATCGGTGTTCATCCCTCTCGGGTCTCACCTCACCGAGAACAGGTGTTGGGAATGGGATTTCATGAACTAATTGCATACTCCAGGTCAGCGAGGGATCAAATAATCAAAAGCTTGCAATGACAGTTAAAGGAGGATGCTGGCTGTAACCCAGCCTTAGACAGACAGCTCAAAGCTCTATGAGCCGTCTCAGGTGTACACTGACAACACACAGCAGGTAATAACGTAAGCTCTCCTTCGCCAATGTGTTGGCTAAGCACTCCCCAATAATGGAGCAGCGCTTGTCGTGCATCTAAATTGCACAACCGGCTGCTCGGTTCCACCCTGGAATTTCGATCCTAGCCCTCACAGACCTTACCACTGTGCTTTGAAATTGGCTGCAACACCAGCACCTTCAGTCCAGCCCCATTGAGTGCAGTTATCCACTTTTTGGGACTTTCTGGGCTTCCAATGAATCCTGTTTCACCAGTAGCGTGCAACTCGGTCTTAACCCTGTTTTCTAGCTGATGACCGATGACAGTCATTACAAACAACCTCTTCCCCACTTCTCCAGTGTTTCTTAACCAAATGGCAACAGGTCCTCTGACCGGTCCCCTGTAAAGTAACACAAAAAGTGCAAAAGAACCGTAGATGCACAAGGCACAGCAACAGGTGAACATTAGATCTTCGCGAAATCCCTCTCTCTGCCAGTGTCGTTTAGGCAGCAGTATGGTCTTGGGGGTCTCAATTCAAATTAAGTCATTTATGAAATTATGCAACTGGTGACCTAGCTTTATGTACCATTAACCTAACATATTACTCGCTTAAATCATTAACATACAGGCTTTATCAGTCTTCAGAGAGTGGTTACCAATATTCATCGCGTGGAGACCCCCCAGCTGTTAGGAGGAGCTGACCAGCTTCCCCTCCACGTCACTAGATGGCGATGTTGCAGTTTACAACAACTTTCACCAGCAATCGTTTCTGATGGGCAGCCAAGAAAACTATGTTGGAGATAAGGTTGTTTGATAGCAAAATATTTTATATTTACAGGGAGGTTTCAAACATATTTCAACAAAGCATTACCCGACTTTAAAAGATAATCATTTCCCTTTCCAGTGCTGCAATGGACGTCTTGGATGCTTTTGGAAAAATAAGTTTATTTTTGTTTTTCACGGTAATGGGGCGACTGCAGGTAGTGGTTTGAAGGTAAACAAGACTTCTGGCCTGTACTGAACATCTGCTTACAAGCCACATTGGGGTTCTCCAGTGCATGGAATCCTCACCTATCTCTGAGGAGACAAATTGTCAGAACTGTTTACGGGTTTCTGATCTCTTCATCTATAAAAATAGTTATTTAGTAGTTATTTCAAACACTGTGCATAGGCCTTTGCAATGTTATTACCCTATTGACTACGCTGTCTGCTGATTTTCCATCTTTCTTGACTCTTGGTTGCTTAACTGAACCATGGAATTAACTAAACGCTTTTATCTCTTTTTAATAGCATCTTTTTTATCTCTAATTAACAACATGTCCAAATTTCATGTCTACATATAAATTAAAATCTTTCACAGTTCCAGTTCAGAACAGATAGATATTGCTGCTCTGGAATCAGTCCGGAGAAGAGTAACCAGATGCATCCTGGGGCTTAAAGGTCTTGCACCGCCTGGCTGAAGGAACGTCACCTGCTTAGTCCCGAACAGAGAAGACTGGAAGGGAATCTGACAAGTATTGTAAATCCTCACAGACACGGACAAAGTCAACAGAGTGGACTTCAGAATAAAAAGTGAATCATGAAGGAGAAACGCCAAGTGGAAACAGAGGATGTGCATTTAAATCCAAGAACAGGAGCTACTTCTTTAACCAAAGAACTGTGGGAGTATGAAACAAGCCACCCAGCCACATTGCTGAAGCCAATACCCTGGTTTCCTTTAAGAACCAGCTTGATGAGACCCTTGGATCAATAACCTGCTAAGCACCAAACAGGGTGGTTGGGCTGAATGGCCTGTAAATTTTATGAAGTTCTGAACCGAAAACTACTTTTAAAGTCTATTAAATTAAACTGTGGCTGATCCATCCATTAGATGAAACATGTTTACCACCAGTAAACGTCACAGCAAATATGGGGTTAGCTCAGCTGCATCAAAAACTAAAAGATGCTGGTGTCAGTAGGAGCAGATTTTGGAATCTCTACCTTGAGATATTCAGGGAAGAATATGTACAGCAGCCTAAGCTGAACATTAATCATTATGGAGGGTTTTCTTTCTTATTAGCCATTAAGTTGTGGTTACTGTATTTGTACCGACACTAGGAACTGGAGCACATCCTATCGTGATTGTTCTGCGTGATTATTATTTATAGTCACCTGACAACAAAAGGCTCTCAGAACACACACTTTTACAGTTCATGCAACCAGGAGCAAATTAAATAACTTGACAGCGTCAACTGGCTATTCCTCGAGAGAAAAATCTCCTTTAGAAAGTAAAGAGAACAAGCTTTTGTAATGTTATCTTCCAAAATAATTTACTGATTGAATATTGGAAGGATTAAGCATTATAAATCAAAGGAAACTGATTTCTTAAGCATGGAAGTTTTTAGACGAGCATTTGTATTTTGAATGCTTTTGTTGCCCTTTTGTATCAATTGATCACTGATGACAGACTGTCATGCACTCAGGTGACTGCTGCACAACCACTGAAACACTGCATTAGTGAGGAATGATGTGGCACAGATGGTGAGCTCTAACTTCTCGAATGTCAATGGTGAAAACCAAGAAAGCAAAACGCAGAAAGGAACTCATATGCCCAACTTCTCAACAGAACAACAATTCCATTAAATGGGTGAGGCCGGACTGTCCAAACACGTTTCTTTGCCACCTGGGGCAACCAGAAATTTTTAACCTGGCAAGACGATAGAGCCAAATAGTCCATCAACCATAGGCCCACGATCTGGGGGTCCACAAGTCACAAATCCACAATATGCTCCACTTTGTATCTAATGTGTTACTCTGATCAGCTCATATTGACGTGACAACAGTTTCGTCGGACAACACGTCCTCATGCAGCTCATGTTACCATGACTTTCCTGCAAGAGGAGAACGCGACAGTTGTGCCACAGTTGTCCGGCCGCCCAAAGCCACACTGAACTGTTGTGGGATGGGCTAGGGTCACATGTGGGCACCT